CAAAAAGTAGTTAACTAATCAATAAATTGAGTGAATGTTACTGCTTTTACAGCTGAACCATAGACCATCTGTGGCTGTTGAAACAGCTAATATAGATAGTTTTCTGTGTACACATGATGTATCAATATACATGCGTGTTTCAACGTTAGTATGTTAGCACTTTATCATGTTAATAGAATAAACTGACAGTAATCCAGCATAAGATCAAGGCCAATTTATGCATCTATAGATGTATATTACTATGGAAATAATGGCCACCAAATTAATATTTAAGCAGCTGGTTTAAAATAATGGTGGACAGTGTGTATATGTGTTTGGTGGTTGGAGGATAAAGGAGAGAGACACAACATGCACAAAATTAAAGAGACAAAAGACATACAAAATTAAGAAGAGTGGCACAGGGCAGATAAAAGTAAGGACAGAGATGCAAGACTTAACATTAAGGAGAAATATACAAGACATAAAATTGAGGAGAGAGATACATGACAGATAAATTTAAGGATAGAGACACAAGACAGTGAAAAATTAGGCAAAGAGACATATCATAGATAAACATAGATACAATTAAGAAGAGAAACACCTGTCAGATATTAACAACATATTAGCATACAAGGCTTTGTTTTAGAGGATTTATGGTCAAAATGTCAAGTATTAACAATGTTATGAACATGTTACGCAGAATAAAACAAAATAAAGAGATTTTACAGTAATTAAAACATCAGAAAGAGACATATGTCATTAGGTCATGCTAACAGATAAGGAAACAATGGTAACTACCGGAAAGATTTGTTTAATGGTGTCTAGAGGAAGACAAGATGAGAAATTCTTGACAGTTCTTCCCACCCCATATGAAGGAATTTCTGCGCACGAGCTGATAAATAATTTTGGATATCAGATTGTGGAGAGGCGTGATTGCCCATGCCATTAAGCAAGGGTTTTGATGATTATGCAAGTAATTTAAAAAAAAAAAAGAGAAGAGTACTTATACTTGATAATGTATTGTCATCCCTTGAATAGATAATGTATTGGTAGCCCTTGACTTGATAACATATTGTCATCCCTTGACTTGATAATGTATTGTAATTTATAGACTTGTTAATTTACTGTCACGAAGACACACCAAGCAAAAATACTGCAAGCCAGAATAGAATTAGATAAAAATAGACAGATGTGCAGAAATCTTTAACTTTAAAATGTACGGAATTAGGGAGAGATAAAAGACAGATAAAAATTAAGGTGAAAGATATAAGACAGATAAAATTAAGGAGAGAGATACAATTAAGGAGAGAGATACAAGACATAAAATTAAGTAGAAAGACATTACATAGGTAAAAGGACAGATACAATTAAGGAGAGGGGCACAACTTATATACAGTTAAGGAGAGACACAACATACATAAAATTAAGGAAAAAGACAATATATAAAAAAATTAAAGAGAGAGACACAAGACATGAAGAGAAATTAAGGAGAGAGGCACAAGATAGATACAATTAAAGAGAGAGGAATAACATACATAAAATTAACGAGAGAGGCATGGCATGCATACAATTAGGGAGAGAGACACAAGACATATACAGTTAAGGAGAGAAATGCAACATATATAAAATTTTGGAAAGAGACACAAGACAAATAAATTCAAGGAGAGAGGTTAGTTACTTAGTTGCTATACTTTACAGGACACTGCAGAACCAACCCCAGCATTTTTTTTTGGTTGTGGTTTTTCTAGACAAATTTATGTCCAGTATTTTGCCATTGCTTTCTGGACGATTGGTTTCTCTATACCACTGTTGAGACCAACGCAAGGCACACGCCCGCAGCTGGGATTTAACCCGGCATTATGAAGCTTGTAATGTGCCTAAGCCAGACACTGACAAGGAAAGAGGTACAGCATAGATGAAAATTAATGAGAGAGGCACACAGCATATACAGGAGAGAGGTACAAGATTGAAAAAAAAATTACTGCATTTATGATCACATCTTAGACTATACAGTATTATTTCTCTCAGTTTGTCTCTGCTACCACTGAACTCTCATGGTGTTCTATGATTAAACAGTGTCAATAATTTTCAACACATGACAAAAGAGCAACTGCCCTTTTCTTACTTATTTTTTTATGATCTTCTAAGTTAGGTGATTTGATTGCATCCTTCCATATTTCCGGATTACTATGAGGATTTCAGGACCATTGTTGAAAACATTAATATTTAGTCTGTTTCTTCACAGATGCTCAGCTTTTATCCCTTCTGCAATCATTTCTCCCTTCAGTTCATTCCCCTCTGATGTCCCCCCTCAACACAACATAGCTCATGCATTTTGTTTCCTCGAGTCCACCTCAATACCTGAATCATTCATGCTCCTCTTGCACACATCTTTTTATCATAGTAGAGGTCAACCTTGACATCTTCTATCCGTGTTTAGTTCACCATAAAGGATGTCCTTAGAGACTCTGCCATACTCCATTCTCCAAGTGTGACCCAGCCACCTGAGCCTTCAAAGACTGAGTATTGCGAAGACTGTTGTAATACCTGCTCTTTCCAATACCTCAGTGTTTGGGATCTCCTTTTGTCGCTGAATGCCAAGTAGTCTTCTTAGGTATTGCATGCAAAAGCTATTTAGCGGTCTCTCCTGGTGCAAACAAGTTGACCAAGCTGCACCACCATAAAACACAGTGCTGGGAACAAGCCTCACAGGAAAGAGTTTTTGTGTTTTAATTGTTAGCTTTCTGTTCTCCCAAACTCTTTTTGTTAATTTGCTCATTGTTGCTGCTGCCTTACCTATCCTGATGTTGATTTCTTGATCCAGCAATAGTTTGTTATTCACTGTGGAATGCAGACAGGTAAAATGGTCAACAGTTTCCATCTCTTCACCGTCAATGTAGACTGTAAGTCTATCAATAACACCTTGCACCATAACCATTAACTTATTTTTGCTAATTATTAGTCCAAAATCACAGCATGCATCAGCAAATGCAGACGATAAACATTGCAGCTCTCTCAAAAGTACCTTTCTTATCCTCATTTTGGTCATCAGCCTATGAGCATTGTAAAGGCTGCCGTCAGATTGAGAGTGGATGAATATAACACCCTCCTGACCTCAAAAGGCATGCTCCAAAAGAAGTGAAAAGTATATTCCAAAGAGGGTAGGAGCAAGTTCACATCCCTGCTTCATTCCTTTGTTGATTACAAACTCCTCCGATGTTCACCATCAATGTTGATTATGCCTTTCATACCTGTATGGAACGACTCAATTATGCTCAGTAGGGTAGGTGGAGTCGGCTCTGTGGCTAAGTCGATGCGAACGTTTCGTAATACCTGGGTGCCGGGTTCGATTCCAGCTGCGGGGCTTGCACCTTGCGTTGGTTTCGACAGTGGTATCAGGGAGCTGACCGTCCAGAAGCAATGGCAAACTACTGGACGTAAATTTGCCTAGAGAAACCAAACAACAGCCAGGGGCTGCTGGGGTCAGTTCTGCCATGTCCTGTAAAGGATACACAACTAACCTTTTTAGCATAGGGTAGGTGGACACCCAATCTTTTCCAGTGTCTTGAACAGACCTTTCCGACGAACCAAATCAAATGCCTTGATATGATCAATTAAAAAAAACATACAGTGGTTGATTTTGTACACCCCTCCAAAATCTTCCTTACTTGTTTATTGCAAGATTCGCTGTTTTAAAACAGAACAGGCTGATAAATTAGGTTTACATACCAACGTGATCTCACTTATTGTCGTCATTATTTCAGTCACTATTATTGGAATAGAAGTGTTTACAAGACGTGTTCATCATTGAAGTAACAAGGTTCCAGCTTCAAGGGTATTTCCACCCCTCATTACAAATTACTAGAGAAGCGCACCAGTTTCACAAAAGTCATCCTAACCAGTTATCTCCTAGTGAAACATAAAGCCCCACCAGTCTCACCAAAGTCATTCTACCACTTTATCTCACAGTAAAACATACAGACCCACCAGTCTCATCAAAGTGATCCTATCACTTTATCTCAAAGTAAAGCATACAGCCCCACCAGTCTCACCAAAGTCATCATATCACTTTATATCACAGTAAAATATACAACCCCACCAGACTCACCAAAGTCATCATATCACTTTATATCACAGTAAAATATACAACCCCACCAGTCTCACCTAAGTTATCCTATCACTTTATCTCACAGTCAAACATACAGCCCCACCAGTCTCACCAAACTCATCCTATCACTTTATCTCACACTAAAACATACACCCCTACTAGTCTCACCAAAGTCATCCTACCCCTTTGTCTCCCAGTAAAACATGTACACCCACCAGTCTCACCAAAGTCATCCTATTCTTTTATCTCCCAGCGAAACATATACACCAACCAGTTTTGCCAAAATCATCTTGTCTCTTTGCTAATGCACATAATTCAACACATGCACACATATTTTTTTTTCACTTCACTTTCTAGTTTCCTCCTCCATGTGTTTGTAATGTGCCTATATTCCTTTCCAGAGCAAAGATATCAAACACCAGTGTCTTTTCCTGAACTCTTAATTCACAAAAAATTGTTTAGTTCTTATCTAAGTCTCGAAATTAGTGATTCATATCATAGCATTTAATTCATTTTATGCAGGCATCAGATAATTAATTTTTTTCATATTGGTCATTGTTTGAATTGTTCGCCATGCTTTTAGCTCTACACAGACAGTACTGGTTTCACAATAGAGCTAAATATTATGAGTATATTTCTACTTTTTATTTCCGTTGACTTTGCCAGTGTTGTGAAAACGCTTACTTTTTCTACTGAAATTTATAACATTTCTTTCACTTCCTCTGTCTGTACATAGATTACAATGTATTAGGTTTATAAGGAAGTAGACAATTATTACAATTAAAATATGGCTCTGAAAATTTGTTTTCAGTTGTGATTTAACTGACATGCTTGCTAAGACATCAGTCTCAGTCAAATTCACATTCTGATATATTTGAGTGTTTGTTGCAGATTCTGAGAGAGGTGCAGGGCAATGAAGACAATACTTCTAGGGATGACTGAAGAGTAAGTATTCTCTGATTAAATATGAGGACCTAGTTGAAGACAGTAGCACAGATCTTCAGTCAAAACATCTTCAACGGTCTGGTCTGTAGCAAATACTGATTCATGTCGTGACTGTTTCTATGTGGGATTTCTTCAGCGGTCTGTTCTCTAGCATAGAGTGATTCTCTAGCAGATAATGATTCATGTGGTGACTGTTTCTATGTGGGATTTCTCCAGCAGTCTGTTCTCTAGCAGATAATGATTCATGTCATGACTGTTTCTATGTGGGATTTCTTCAGCAGTCTGTTCTCTAGCATAGAGTGATTCTCTAGCAGATAATGATTCATGTCATGACTGTTTCTGTGTGAGATCTCTTCAACTAGTGGTCTCTAGCAGATACAGATTCATGTCATGACTCTTTCTGTGTGAGATCTCTTCAACTAGTGGTCTCTAGCAGATACTGATTCATGTCATGACTGTTTCTGTGTGGGATTTCTTCAGCAGTCTGTTCTCTAGCAGATACTGATTCATGTCATGACTGTTTTTATGTGAGATCTCTTCAACTAGTGGTCTCTAGCAGATACTGATTAATCCATACATTTGATGCCTGTCATCATAGATGCCCAGAACATTCTGTCTTGCTTACTGCTGATCTTTTGTAATGTAAAACTTTCTGTAAGCCATTATGCCAACTTGTAACATCTTTTCTAATGCTCTCCCTTAGCCTTGCTTTCTTTTCATCTTTCCTTCTTTCACAGCATACTTCAATTTTATCCATTTCATGATGTTAGATCCTTTCTTCTCCTAAGTTTTTAAATTGACCAAAATTATTATTGTCACCTTCTGATATTTGTGATCATTTGTCTTACTTCTGGTCCTGTTAGATTACTCATCTCATATTGGCTGTTGATCATCAGTTGTCACAAAATTGTCATTATCGTCATTATCATCACATCGCTCCACCATACATACACCACAAAGGGCTCACAGTCTATTCCTTCATTCCAGTCTATTTAATGCAAGGGCTCTTGCATGATCACTGTGATTCTGAACTTTATCACTGCCATTCTAAAACTTTTTTTCAGCCTCAGCATCTTCAGAAATGCTCTACATCATGGATGACCCTGATGATATAGAGCACGTTTAAAGATTTCTTAACCTTCATGTTCTAAATCAGAATCATTGCATTCCAGATCACTTTAATTTAACAGAACCAAGCAGCCATTAGCAACACATCTATATGTCATTTTAGGTACTGTCCTTCCGATGCTCATTTGTTTCCAACAGAAAGCGCCGAATATGAACGAATGCAATCGAATTCACATTTTAAACATTGTTCGCTAAACAGTTTGTTTGATGTAATTTAGATGCACTTACATATTCTCATAAGCAATATCTTCAAATTTGATTTGGGCAAACTAGCCCTAAATGAACCAAAAAATGCATCATCATCCTCATCATCACACACGCATGCACACACACAAGCAGAGCATACTTCCACACTTGGAATATGGGTCAACTGCATGGTGTTCAGCATCTAGTACCACATTAAAGGAGTTAGACAAAGTGCAAAATCAAGCGCTCAGAGTCATCACAGGAGGGATGAAATCAACCCCCATATTAGAAATGGAGAAAGCTGGAAAAACACAGGCACTGAGAGAACGCAGAGATACAAAGTTGCAAATACTAGCTGAAAAGTTCCTCAGTATGCCAGATCACCCGATGGAAAATAGATTTAAGAACCTAGCCTTGGGACGGTTAAAAAGAAGCAGCTTTATACACCAAGCAAAAAGAATATGTAGACAAACTCCTGACCTTCCAGAAATTGGCTGCCCACTTAAAAGTATTCCGGAACAAACCCCATGGAGAGAAAAATGTAAACTAACGGTACAAATCCAGACAAATGTGAAAGGGATATTTGACAAGAAAGAGCAAGATAGTGTACAACGCAAAATGGCCACCCTCAGTTATATTGATAAAGAATACCCACAAGAACAAGGGGTCAGAGTCTATACAGATGGGTCTGCAGAAAGTGCAGTTAGAAATGGTGGTGCTGGAGTGTACATCGAATTCCCAGATGGTACTAGGGATAAGTCCAGCATACCAACCGGGAAGTACTGCCATAACTACGATGCAGAAACCCAGGCTATTAAGATAGCTACAGAGAAACTGCTAAATACCAACCTTGGCTCATAGTATGTGGTAATGCTTACTTGAAGCACTCCAGTCTAGGAAACTACCAGAATTGCAAACACTGCTGACACAACTCAGCGTTCAGCGAAGAGTCGTAATGCAGTGGATACCGTCTCATTGTGGAGTGCCTGGAAATGAGAAAGCTGATCAACTGGCAGGGGAAGGTGCGAAAAAAGAGCAGCCAGATGTACCAGTCACATACCACCAAAAGAAAAGAATCATTAAATCGATCAGGAAACCACCAGCCCCAGCACAAGACGACTATTTTATTATGGACAGACCAAAACAAGTCATTATCTTCCGCCTCAGAACAGGGCACAACCGATTACATAACCACATGTACACAAAATTCAAGATAGGTGTATCAGCCATGTGCACCTGTGGAAATGTGCCCCAGACCGCAGAGCATGTACTCCAGGACTGCACCGATTTTGACACATTAAGGCAAACCTTTTGGCCAGAAAGAACAACAGTGGAACGTAAACTCTATGGACCACTGAATGAACTAACAACGACAGTGAAATTTATACAAGAGACAAAACTGCTGATATAGATAACTTATTTCAGGCGAACGAAAGAAGAAGAAGAAATCCAGGGCAATGATATTTATCTGCATTCGGCTCCTGAAGCATGATTACATAAAAGCCGTAAATCAACCTCTCTAGTACGGGCCCTCTCTGTCTGGCACTACAACAGTTCCAAAAACCACACTCTCACATGATTGAACCCCAGCCGTTTTGTTTTTCGCCTAAATCTTCTGGCTCCTACCCTTCTATTTCCCTGCTTTCTTTTCTCACCATTTCCTCATTTTCTCCTCTTTACTCTCTCTCTGCTTGCTAAAGATGAAGTCATGCAAAGAGCCCGTTCTCCGCAGCTCCAGCGACAATTCCTATTAAACAAAAATGAAAAACCATATGTTGAAGTTGTTGGGGAGCAGGAAGTAACCGGTCACCCTAGTAGGACCTGCCTGCTAGAAAAGAGGCAATGGATGTCCTTATGGAGTCCATACGCCCCTCCCGCTGACCAGATGTCCACGTTCATGACTGCCTATCCCACAGCCATTCAGCACTTAGTTCCATTTTAGGCTTTTTTAAATTTTTTAAATCAAGGTTGTCTCCTCTAGATCCTTGTGTTTTGTCCCAGGACTGCGAGGTCCTGGTTAACGGGGTCACCTCATGAAGGGTGTGCCTTTTTGGTCACACACAATGGTCTTGACTGTAGAAAAGTTTACCAGGTCAGAAGACTTACCACCTGAATGCACCATTTTCACCTATAAGGCTAGACCCAGAGACTCACAAGGGGGAACAGATGGTGTGCTGCACTGCCCGAGAGTCTTAGCCACTACAGCCCTGAGTCTTCATGACCCTTGACCCCTAAGTTTAAATCTACCAATGTTGAAACCATATGCCCGATAAAAACTAAGAAGAAAACAGTTCTTTAATTTGGTTTAATTATATACTAAGTGAACATTCTATCACCCTCTTTTTATCTTCTCATTGGGCTTTCTAAACTTACTCTAGAGTATTTCTAGACTCGCTGCCTCTACCTTCTACCCTCTAAGTCTATCTAAGTCTATGTCTGCCCAAGTCTAAGTCTGCCAAACCAGGGGCTCTCTTTATCATGAAAAATGCAATAACCCAACACAATTTAGAATATTTTCTTCAACAAGGTATTTACAAGTACGGCAAGGTTGGGTCACATGACGAAAAAACGAATTTTAGAAACTTCTATAAAAAAGACCAAGGCTAAATGACATCAGGTCGATGTGTAGTAATTCCGTCACTAGTTAGTTTTGGCTGGAAAAGAAGGTTCTAGAGTGTTGTGGGCTTCAACTTGTTTTTTTTCATACTCAGTTTGTGCAGTGCTTCCTGTTTCACATCATTACTGTCATTTTGAACATTATCACTGTTATTCTGGACATCATTACTGTTATTCTGAGGATTATCACTGTCATCCTGACCATCCTCACTGTCACTGTGCACATTATCACTGTCATTCTAAGCATGATCATTGTCATTCTTTCTACTATCGCTGTCATCTTAAGCATTATTGCTGTCATTCTGGACATCATCACTATTATTCCAAATATTATCATTGACATGTTCATGATCACCGTCATTCTGAGTATTATCACTGTCATTCTAGACATCATCACTGTCACTCTAAACATGATTACAGTCATTGTGGACATCATCAGTGTCATTCTGAGCTTCATCACTGTCATTCTTAGTATTATCACTGACATTATCAGGATCCTCACTGCCATTCTGGACATTATCAGTGTCATTCTCAGCAAGTTCACTGTCATTCTGAGTATTATCAGTGCCATTCTGGACGTATCACTGTCACTGTGAAGATCATCACTGTCATTGTGAACATCATTACTGCCATTCTGAGCTTCTCACTGAGTGAGTTTGAACCATTATTGTCATTCTGAGCATTATCATTGTCATTCTATCAACACTGTCAGCATGTACAAACATAACTAGGATCAAAATCATCATGGCTGTAAGACAGAGCATCATGACTAATATCATTCTAAAACCCCTCTCTATCATCTTGAATATCACCTTCATGTACTTGTCTCTTCCCCAGCCAACACGATAAGAGATCCTGGAGATGCTCTGGCATGGTAGCAGCCTTCATCCTGCTAAGCCTTGCTCTCAATGCCAGTATCAGAGGACAAGCTGTTCTGATTCGTCAGGCATACAGTGACACCAGTGAGAATGTTCTGTTTCTCTTCACTTGGGCTGTTGTCTTTGGACAGATCTTGGCAGTCATGATCTTGATTGTTGCAGAAACGCCACATGGATATTGGCCCGATAAAGAAGCTATTATGATCATTATATTTGCCCATGCAGGTGGTATCTTTTTGCATGATTACCTGCTGAGTGTGGGGAATGCACATGGTTTTCTGTCTGTGGCTTATCTTCAGCCTGTATTAGCTTTGATTACAGTTTGGATTGTGACATCTTCAACATCCATTATAGCTCGGCCTTACACATGGGTCGGCATGGCTGTCATTAACATTGGATGCATTTTTGTGTCTATTAAATTGTCGACTGTTACTAACTCTGACAGGACCTCCTGGATATGCTTACTGTCTGCCTTTACCATGATTCTCCGAAACATTGTGATCCGACAGCTTGTGAATAACGAACATGTTGTAGTGAGGCCTCGCAGGAAAATTATGATTTTTGGGTTGGTTATTGTAGTGTGTATTGTTCTGCTGGCAATCAAAATCACCTCAAAAAACTGGCTTGTCCCATCCCTTTGTGCCTTGATAACATGTGCCTTGTGTGCAGCCTTGACATATGTGACAACCCAGGTACTGAAAAGCTATTCAGTTCCTTTTGTGTCCTTGTTTTGTGTCTGGGCAACGCTTGTAGAAGCTGTGATGCTGATGCCTAATGACCACAGACCAAACTTTGTTATTTTTCTGTTATCCTCAGGCCTAATTATTATTGGTCATTATTTGTTTATTAAAGACCACATAGAAAGTACTACTGATGGGACTACCCCTGCCTTGACTACAGTGCATCCACCAAAACCTGGTAAGTTTATTATTATTAATATATTTGCTATAATAAGCAAATTTAACACTATTTTTGTTTGTTTGCTTGGTTGTGGAATGCCTAGAAGGCTGAGTTTTAACTTTAAAGTCCGATGAAAACTGAGTTTAAAACTTATAATCTCATAAAAAGCGAGTTTTATTCTCAGTCTCATTAAAATTAAACACTAAAGTCTCATGAAAACTGAGTTTTATCTTTAAAGTCATGAAAATTAGGTTTCAACTTGAGAGTTTCATGAAAAGGGCTGTCATCTGTCTGAGAAAGGCTGTGGTAACCAAAATATCTTCATGTGGGATGTGTTGCAAATCTGTCTTTCAAGCCTAAAATGAGAATGATGTGCAAGGCTAGCACTGGAACCACCACTATGGAGCAATGTAGTGGATGAAATAGTGTTGTGATTTTGCACAATAGAGAATGAAGGACTGGCTGAAAGCCTAAATCATCGAAAAAGAAAAAAAAAACTGCATTAAAAAAGAAAAATAATTTTGAAATCTTCCAACTAGAGTAACAGGCAAGTTTGCTAGACTGTGCATTACCACAGATTCCCTGAAATTTAAATAAAAACGTCAAATTTCAGTGGCCACAGAAGCTGGGAACATTGTACTAGTCTTCTCTATGTATTGCAGCCTCCATCTTAATTCTTTTTCTAGATGTTGTAGTATCTTATGCTAGGATGTCCTGCACAAAGATTTTTTACTGGCTTTCACTATGAACCCGAGGCACTTCTCTTCCCTGTCAACACAGAACAATCTATATAGATAATCAGATCATCTAGGTGAGAATTGTCGTGAATCAACTGTTGGATTTCCACATCAGTAGCCCCTGCTGGCCACTCTCTACACACCCGGCCCACTGTGATCATAACCCTACACAGGTCCAGTTTTCTCTGGTACTCTGACCCACTCCTCTCCTTGCTTATTGTTTACCAGCATGCATACTTGTTTTATTGGGTCTTCTGCTTGAGCCATCCACTAATTTCCCCTTTCCAGCCTCTAACCCTTACCTACAGCCAGAGCTTCATACAGAGGGTGTTCTTTGTCTGCAGCTACTCTAAGGTATGACTTAGCCTGCAGCACTTTTAGCTTATCCGCAAAAGTCAGCAATGCAAGGATGTATCACATGCACACAATCGAATGTCTCTTGTACATCCCAGGTAAAATTGCAGATACCTATAGTAGTTCTGGAACTTGATTGTCCTCATGTTTACTCATATTCAGAAAAAATCTAATCTAACTTGATTGTCCTCATGTTTACTCACACCCAGAAAATATCTCATCTAACTTGACTGTCCTCATGTTTACTCATGTTCATAAAATATCTGACGTAAGTGTATTGTTCTCATGTTTAGAAAATATCTGATATAAATTTTTTGTCACTTACATCCAGCTATCATCATCATCATCAATCATTTTCAAGTCCTGTGGCGATGGGGGAGCGACAAAGTGGCAGACATGGATTACATCCGTAGCCACAGACCTGCACTCAGGCAGCACAGGCAATATGGTCACTGTGTACTGATTGGAGCAGTAGTGGACATCGGTGATTCCCTAAGCGATTGAGCAGCCCTCTTTAGGAAAGCACTGCTCACCATGAGGCACGAAGAAGGGGTTAGAAAATGTGTCATAAAAATTGCCTGCTCCACCATGTCCCGACTAGCATACTGCGGCTGAAGAGAACCCCTCTTCTGCGGTTGACAAAAACGAAAAACTAAAGACTCGTAACATACCACTAAAGTTCGGCGCATGGAATGTGTGAACTCTCATGGATAGAGAAAATGCATCTGCATCAAGAATTTGGCAGTTGCAACGTCGACATTGCAGTCCTGAGCAAGACTAGACTTATTGATGAGGGCGAACTCTGCAAGGTTGGTGAAGGTTACACATTCTCCTTGAGTGGTAGAAGTCCTGAAAAACACAGAGAAGTTGGAGTGGGCTTTGCAATGAAGACCACATTAGTTGGTAAATTGACTAAACCCCAAAAAGGTAAAAGTGATCAACTCATGGTGATGTCAATACCATTATTTCAAGGGAAAAAAAGCACCAATCGTAAGTGCATATGCACCAACGACTAATACAGACGAGGTCGTAAACAGATTCTATGAAGACCTGCAGCCTGTAATCAGTACCAGAAGACCACAAGCTTATCATCCTTGGTAATTTTAATACTAGAGAGGGTGCAGACTTTAACATGTGGGATGGTATAATTGGAAGACTTGGAGTTGGCAACTGTAATAGCACGGGCTACTGACCTATGCAGAACATGAACTAATTACAGACACTTCATTTCGCCTCCCTACCCATAACATAAACTGGATGCACCCATGTTCTAAACAGTGGCATCTTATTGATATGTCCTAATGAAAAAGTGTGACAGGCAGGACGTACAGGTAACTAAGTCTATGTGTGACGCTGAATATTGGAAGAACCATTGCCTTTTAGTTTCACAAATTAACCCTCGCATTCAAGATGACCCCAGGGAAGTAAGACTTACATGAAATTCAACATCTCTAGGCTGAGAAATGAATCCACAAAAAATTATTTTGTATCCACACAGGAAGATCATCTACAGTCCATCTCATTAGATGACCTAAATATGGAGGATACATGGACCACCCTGAGAGATATGAACTACAGCACAGCTTTAGAGACAATTGAACTGGTTACAAGAAAACACCATAATTGGTTTGACGAAAATTCAGAAGATATTCAGCATTTACTAATGGGGAAACACCGCTCTGTAAAGCTTTGTTAATTGACCCAAATTTAATATCAAAGACAGACTCCAATAATATTAGAACTGTTGAGACCAAACTTCGACAGATGCGAGACATGTGGCTAAGCAATTAAGCTGATGAGATTCAACATTTTGCAGACAGGCATGATATGAAAAAATGTCTATGATGCTTTAAAAACAGTATATGAACCTAGGCCACCATCAGCTTGTCCACTTCTCAGCAAAGATGGAAGTACACTACTCACTGATAACGATGTAATCCTCAAACATTAGGCTAAACACTTCAGAGACATCCTGAACCTTCAGTCATCCATAAACGAGGAAGATATACACGGTTTGCCCCAGGTCCCTATGAATGCAGCCCTAGATGAAACACCAACTCTTCTGGAGACCAAGATAGCCATTGATCAGATGTCTAGTGGTAAAGCACCTGGTCTTGATGCGATACCTGCACAAGTTTTCAAAGAAGATGATAATATCCTCACTGAGAAATTACACCAAATATTCCAACTGTAATCAAAGCTAAAACAGCAAGAAATACTTCTACAAGACTTCAAAGATGCAACAATCATACACTTGTATAAATGTAAAGGAAACAGCCAGGCATATGACAATCACAGTGGAATCTCTCTTCTGTCTATTGCTGGTAAAATCCTGGCTAGAATTCTCCTCAACCGCATTACGGTGCATCTTGATCAAGACCTCCTGCCTGAGAGTCAGTGGGGCTTCCAAAAAGAGGGAGGGACCATTGACATGAATTTTTGCTGCTCGCCAGCTCCAGGAAAAGTGTCAAGAACAAAACTATGACCTCTATTCTACCTTCATAGACCTCACAAAGACCTTTGATACAGTCAGTAGAGAAGGACTGTGGAAATTCATGGCTAAATTTGGCTGTCCTCAGAAGTTTATTAGGATTGTACAACAGTTTGAAGGTATGCATGCCAGAGTGCTGCAGAAGGGTTAACTGTAGGATACTTTCCCTGTCTCAAATGGCGTAAAGCAAGGACGTCTGCTTGTGCCAACCTAGTTTAGTCAGACATGTGCTGCAATGCTTGTCAATGCCTTTGATGATGATGATCCAGGAACTGCTGTAAATAACTGTACATATGACTGCTTGTTTAATTTGAGGAGACTTCGAGCTAAAACCAAAAACTAAAACAGCCACAATTAGAGACCTTTTACTTGCTGACTACTGGGCTCTAAACTCCATTTCTGAGGCCAGATTGCAACCCATCATCAATAGATTTTCTTAAGCCTGTACCAACTTTGGGCTAACTAATAACGCCAATAAAACTTTTGTTATCTATCAATCGGCTCCTTGAAAAAATTACTGAGATCCCATTATCACCGTAAATTATCAAAAGCTGAATATAGTCGACAGATTCACTTATCTTGGCAGTAGCCTGTCTGAGAGAGTCAACATGGACAATGAGATCAATGTTGGAATCTCAAAGGCCAGCAGCAGTTTTGGCAGATTTTTACCAGTGTCTGGAACAGAAGTGGTATCTCCCTGCCGACCGAGCTAATGGTTTACAAAGCTGTAATTTTCCAGTACTGCTGTACGCTTGTGAAATGTTAACTGTGTATCAGCGCCATGCTAAAAAGTTGAATAAGTTTCTTATAGCCTGTCTCAGAAAGATATGATCCCAAATATTGTGGCCTTTGATAGAGCAAACCCGCTTAGCATCCATACGATTCTAAATAATTATCAGCTGTGTTGGGCTGGTCACCTAACCCGCATGACAGAATATCGACACCCACAGAGAGTTATTTTATGGTGAGCTTCAGCAAGGGAAGAGGTCCAAGGCAAGACAGAAAAAGCGCTATAAGGACACTCTCAAGACTGCTCTCAATTCTTTTAGCACCAATGTGGGAGGCTGCTGCGCAAGACCATTCTGGATGGTGTACGTCCCTCAGGCATGGTGCATCAGCCTGCCAGGCGAAGGAGGTTGCACAGGCAGAGAAACGGAGGCAGACTAGAAAGAATCGTACTGCTAATCTCACACTCACTGCGGCTTCCATCTGTTTTTCCTCACTGCTCCAGAACTTTCCAGGCTCATATTGGACTAATCAGCAACCTTCCTACTAATAATCATTGATCATTACCACTTTGGATAAATGTGGTCTTCATCACTCGTGATGGACGAACAACTGCTCATGTTCAGAAAATATCTGATCTAACTTGTTTGTGCTCCTGTTTACTCATGTCAGATAATTTCTGATCTAACTTGAATGTCCTCATGGTTACTCATGTTCGCAAAATAAATGATCTGACTTAATTGTTCTCATGTTTACTAATGTTCAGAAAATATCTAAAATAACCTTATTGTCCTTATGTTTACTCATGTTTGTGTTTGACTGTCTCCTTCCACCAGTGAGCACACATGAGCAGTACACGAGGATCGAATTCCTGCTGTTTGCAGCTCTGGTCATGGGCGTGACTGTTTTTGTGTTGCAACCAAAAATCTCCCAGAGAGATTTAAACACCCTCAGCTATATTGGACTTGATACAGTCATCCGCCGGTTACTTCTACTGGAAGTTGCAGAAGATGTCCATGTTGTAGAAGAGCAAAGTCAAGTTCAGCTGCCCTAGGAAACAAGACTTAGATATATTTGGTCGGATGTTTTAGTGCGTGTAAATCTTTCTCTTTAAAAAAATATTATTTACCCTCTTCTCCTTCACTTCTTCCTTCTTCGGCACATGTTCTTAAAAGGGTGGTTGATATATAGGCAGTATCTTTACCTGGTTTCCCCCAGAAATAGAGATCAGTAACTCCCGCATGATAGATATCTTATTATGTCATATAGCTGTCTGGTAGGTATCTTCTTATGTCATATAGCTGTCTTGTAGGCATCTTCTTATGTCATATAGCTGTCTTGTAGGTACCCACTTATGTCATATAGCTGTCTTGTAGGTATATTCCTGTCATATAGCTGTCTGGTAGTTATACTCCTGTGTCATATACTTTTATGATAGATATCTTATGTCATATAGTTGTATGGTAGGTATCTTCTTATGTCATATAGAAGTCTGGCAGGTATTTTCTTATACCATATAGTTGTCTGATAGGTATTTTCTTTATTTGTGTGCAATACACAATTTGGTTTCTGTGACATGGTTTTTATTTTTGGTTTGATTGTATAATTAAATATTCTGTGTGGGTGATGCAATTAGAAGAGGTCGCCTGTAATGGTTCATTGAAATGTGTTCTCATGAATTTGAACTATAAATCACAAACCCTTTATTTTTAAAAATTTTTTTTTATTTGATTGTTTTTTTGGTGTTTTTTTTCAAGAAGGATAGTTCATTGCAAATGGTGATGCTACACAGGTTAAATTTTCAAATGACATTATAGCTGCAATGTTTAATTTAACTGGGATTTTAGTCACCAGATCCTTGTGCATTTTAAAAATTAGTTTCCAATCACAAAACGTAAACTTTTGCTAGAGTTATGTATCTAGGAATATATAAATCCAATATAAACAGATGTGCACAAAGTTCAAGTTCTGGAATAAGGGGGGCCTTTTCACTTGGTACATAAGAATAACAGTAATACTACTGTGTGCACTTTAACCAGACTTGGGCCTATTGAGTAGGATTGTTTACATCTCCTGACCCAGGCTCTCATGAGATTTCATAGAGGCCTTTCCTATATGTCTACTTTATCTGCATCTAGGGAATGATCGCCTGAGATTCGTGAGCCTCGGTATTCAAACTCATGTCCAGCCAACAGCTGAGGATCATAAACATCAATGTTTGGTGGGTTTTCAACATTCATTCCCCTCATTTGTGTATTGTTGAGACTGATGGTAAACCTCAATTATTTGCATGTGTTTGTACTGCGATTCATGAGGATTTGCAGATCCTCCTCTTATGTGCCACAATGGCTGCATCATCCGCAAAAAGAAAATCCCTGAGGCATCTTGAGTGCACCGTTATCCTTGCACGTAACCTAGACAAATTTTAAAAATTGCCATCTAACCTTGAACGGAGAACATCCCTTCAATGGAGTGTCCCAAATGCGTGCCTTAACAATGCATTAAAAAAGGTGGCAAACAGTGTGGGAGCCAAAATGCATCCTTGCTTGACTCTGTTACGAATCTGGAAAGGTGAAGACGATGAATCCTCATATATTATAGTTCCCTGCATATTCCAGTGGAAGGATTTAACAAGGCTTAGTAGTATAAGTAGGCATCCGTATTTATCAAGATCTTGAACAGACCATCTCTGCTAACATGATCAAAGATCTTGAACAGACCATCTCTGCTAACATGATCAAAGGCCTTGGTGAGATAAATGAAGGCAATAACCAGTGGCCTCTGTTGCTCTATGCACTTCTCTTGTCGCTGTCTGAGGGAGAAGATCATATCAACTGTTGATCTCTGGGCCCAAACCCATACTGTGACTCTGGGTATGCTCTGTCCGCTAGAATTTGCAACCTCCTTAGCATAACACAAGCAAAGACTTTTCCCACATAGCTCAACAGAGATTCCACGATGGCTTGTGCAATCGCTTTTGTCTCTCTTGTTTTTAAAGGAAGTTGTAATATTGGCATCTCTTATATCCTGAGGTACAAATTTTTCTTGCCAACATTGGCAGAAGATCTTGGGCAGGCAGGACGAATAGCATCCTTTGAGCATTGCAGGATCTCAGGCGGATACCATCCTATCCTGGGGCCTTACCAGAGGGAGGCTCATCAAGTGCTTAGCCGATTTCTGTAATGGAGGGCTCCACGTCTAGTTCGCCGACTGTAGGCAAACACGTCAATGTGTTTAAAATTTCTTCGCTCACATAGGTGCTGGTAGCATAGAACTCTGAGTAGTGCTTCACCCAGCACACCAGCCATTTTGTGCGATCCTTTGTGATCTTGCTCGTGCCAGGTTTGAGAGGGACAACCTTTCTTTTTACTGGTCTGACAGCCTTCTTTTGGTATTATACATTCACTGAAACCAAACTCCGAAACAAAATATTGAAGCTGTTGTCATTTTTGGAAGTGAATCTTGAAAAAAGAATGATCGAATCAGAAATAACTGAGAAGTTCAGGGCACTCTAGACAGCCAGAGTCACTAACCTTGGACAGCTAGAGTCACTAACCTTAGACAGCTAGAGTCACTAACCTTAGACAGCTAGAGTCACTAACCTTGGACAGCTAGAGTCACTAACTTTAGACAGCTAGAGTCACTAACCTTAGACAGCTAGAGTCACTAACCTTAGACAGCTAGAGTCACTAACCTTAGACAGCTAGAGTCACTAACCTTAGAGAGCTAGAGTCACTAACCTTGGACAGCTAGAGTCACTAACCTTGGACAGCTAGAGTCACTAACCTTAGACAGCTAGAGTCACTAACCTTGGACAGCTAGAGTCACTAACTTTAGACAGCTAGAGTCACTAACTTTAGTCAGTTAGAGTCACTAACCTTAGACAGCTAGAGTCACTAACTTTAGACAGTTAGTCACTAACTTTAGACAGCCATTGTAAGTAACCTTGGACAGCCATTGTAAGTAACCTTGGACAGCCAGGGTAACCAACAGCAATTGCATGAAATGCTATGATAAGAAAAAGAGACAGAATGGTTGGTCAGGTGATAAGTTTTTTGAAAGACCACTAATTGCCTGAAAGATAATAAGCGGTGGAATAGGTAGACTTTGAGAAATGTTGTGAGACGGTAAAAAATATTGGCTTGGAGGAACATTAAGGAATTAGTAGAAAACATAGGGGATCCGGATCTGTGGATAGACCTGGTCTCTTTGGACATAATGATGACGATGTGTTGTTTCATAGTGCACACAGTTTTTCTTTAAATGCTTGTTTTTTTTTATGAACACCCTCTTGTGGGTTTTGATGAATCACCTGAGAAAATTGGGTGCCTTAATTGCTAGCCCCCCCCCCCCTCCCCAAAGTACTTCTAATTTGTAATGACTTTGTATGCAACATGCATACTGATTTCTGTGATACAGTTCCTAGTGTTGGTTAAATTGTATAAATATATATTTAAAGTGGGTGATGCAAATAAAAGAGGTTTATTACATTGTATCTTATGCTTGTAATGGTTAATATAAATGTGTCTCCTTGTGAATTTATTATTGATATACAATAAATTGTTTTGGAAAAATATTATTGCTGGAATAATTTGCTGCAATCTTGTCAGCTACTAAATAATTTTCATCATGTCCTAGTTGATACAGGGAAGAGTTGGTGTAGGCATGGCTTTCTGTAGATGACCTAATTTGTAGACAGAACTTGATGTAGACAAGACTTGGTGTAGGTATGACTTACTTGATCTAGGCAACACTTACTTATATAAATAATGCATTTAAAGGTGGTTGATTGTCTTCATTACTCCAAACTTGATTACTCTTAGCAGGGTGGCTGAATGTCTTAAGAATGGCTAAATGTCTTTTAGGAGTGTCTGAATGTCTGTCAAGAGAGTGTCTGAATGTTTGTCAGGATTGGTTGAATGTCTGTCAGGATTGGTTGAATGTCTGTCAAGAGTGTTGCACACAGAATGAGCTACAAAGCTTAATAAATCACCCCTAAGGTCTCTAAAAACAAATTGCCCTTATGAATTAAAGAACATAGAAAACAAAAAAGACAACAAAAAAGAGAAACAACAATATACATTTTGAACAAGAGATCTGGTAATCTGGTAATCTTAGTTTCATTTTCATAGCAAATGGGTCACCCCATAGTTGCTCCGCTCCTGTGCCAACAAAAAAACACAGAATGTTTATCACAGCCCCTTGTGGAAAGATTGACAGACGGCTGTCTCAGCATATCTAGCATACATACGCATTAAAAGCATATGGTAGCCACCCAAAGTGCTAACACAATCAGTCTGACATTAGAAATGCAGTTAATTATGGATGGCAGCAGGTCACTAACAGATCTGCAGTTGCAGACGCAATAAATTTTAATCGCATAATGGCACTAACAATACTGCGACAACAGGCATCGTGCCATTTTCTGAATCTACAATTCACACCACCACGTTGGTCACAGTCCAAACATATTCCAAATGAAATTCACAGCTCACAGTGTCACGCCATACACTCAGCTCAGAAACTGGACGACAAAACGATATCCTTTCAGACTACAAATGGAGCAAAAATGCAACGGTCACAGTCTGGCAGTAGCAAAAAATTTGGTGCAACTCAAAACAGTGGCCTTGTGTAGCGTCTATTTTGACCGGAAGTCAAGATATAAAATATACAGAAAATAGACCTACTGAACAAGAGATACAATATACCGAAAAAGGACCTACTGAACAAGAAATACAACATACAGAAAATAGACCTACTGCACAATAGATACAATATACAAACATAGACCTACTGCACAAGAGAAAGAAAACAAAAAACAATAATGGACCTTCACAAGAGATACAATATTTAAAAATAAAAGACCTGTAGAACAAGAGATTTAAAAAAATACAGATCTGTGGAACAAAAAGATACTAGATTAAAAAAAAATGTACAACAATAGACCTACTGCACAAGAGATAAAATATACAGATTTGATTTGATCTGATTGAAGAACCGACATCACAGCACTCGGGGCATTCCCATAAGCGCTCCATCCCTACTTCAGCAGCT